TTGTCTTACACAATTGTTTAAATAGAGAAAAAAAATGGTAGTTCAAAGTATTTTTATTCGCAAATACTATTGTTTTCCTTATTCATATGAAGATATGGATCGTTTTCCTATGCAAGTATTTTTGCGTCTGGTTTTTCAAGTTATATTTCTGCATGTACTTAGGCGCTCTGCTTCGAAGTGAAACCCTGGTTTGAAAAACTGGTCGCCCAAATAAGGTTTTAAGAACTGTATCGCAAACGAGCTTGCGACTCGTCTGGTGGTAACGGCTTTCATCATAAAAACCCCATTCCAATGCTCCCGAGCAAATATTGTATGCAAACTAGCTTTACAAGGTTTATAGCAGTATTGGAATAACACTTTCCGTTCTTTCAAGCTACCATCTGAATTTTCTTACTCACTGCTACCTTTCACAACGATATACAAATGCCATTCTAACACTTTGAATGTATATTCCAGGTGATCCTAGAGAAGACAATCCGTATCCCGCGATCGCTGTCGGTAAAGGCCGCTTCGGTGCTAAAGGGTTTCCTCAACAAGAACCCGGTAGAGAGGCTCGGTTGTGGAGAGGGCGGGTTCCTCGATATCGTCAACCACCCCTTTTTTAAGAGCATCGAGTGGGAAATGGTTAGAAATTTATTAAACTTACTTATACATAGTTCGACGTCAAATATTTAAGAAAGGTTTCTGTTCACTGTCTGTCAGTGGTTTTTTTATGTTTTTAGTTCTTTTTCACGTGGTAGAGCCATGCTGCAGCTACATATACTGTGGTTGCAGCACGAGTGGGTCGGCTCCACCGGGGTAGGATCACCACCAGACCAACTTTCGGTCACGATGGCCCGCCGCAACGGAGACTAGTCTTCGGCGCAGGATAGGATTATAGTGCCCAAGTGTATGCGCAAGCACAGGTGCACTCACTGTTCCCTCACTCTCATAATCAATTGGAACAGTAAACCGACACAACCGGATAGAGATTAGACGTAGGACCAAAGGCTTTACGTACTTTCCGAGGCACGGAGGTAAGACATCGCCAACTTCTGACTCCTGACAGCTACTGATAATTTCTTGACGGTAAAACTCAATAATTGATTTTTGGCCCGACCCGGTATTCGAATCCAGGACCTCATGATTTGCAGTCGCACTACTTCAGCTACTAGACTTTTATTTCTTAACTTTTTCATTCCCGACATTATGGACATGCCCGCGCATGCGCATATTACGGGCATACACATTATTGCGGTACTCATACTTATTATATTTATAGTATACGTAGTATTACATTTTTTAATAACGCAGCTTTAAATTTTAAAATTATCTCAAGTCACCTTAGATAATATTTTGTTCGTTGTTTTCCTAAACAGTGTTAATTTAAGCCAGTTTCTTTTATAGGTTTAAGTACCAAAATAAATGGAAAAATCGTATTGTCTATTGTAACAAGTCTATATAATAAGATCGCGTTTCTACTAACTGTCGTGTTTCTGACTCGATAAAGAAAAAATCCATTTAATCATTTAGTAAAGGCGCTTTACACCACCTATTTTCATAGACTCGCTGGCCATGGCTATCGTAAAGCGCCCGAAACGTCAGGAGTTAAAAAAGCTAAAAATTAAACACGGTAAAATTCGTAAAATAAGTTTTATTCAACGTGTAGCGTACTAGTAAAAATAATATATCATTAGGAATCATTGAGAAAACATTAAGAATTCATTAATCGTTGACAGGCGGACTAAATTTTACGACGAGATTCACAACAGTTTATCAACATCCACTGCTGAATTTGAGCCACCGTATAGATTGCCTTATAAGAGGGATATTTGTCATAGTTGCCACGCTTGGCAGGCGGGTTGGCCAACCGCAGTTTTTTATTTCTAGTTTTTATTAGTAAGACGTTGCTGTCCATCTCCTGGTTTGATTCCCACTGTCAAAAAATTTATGTAAAAGAGTTGGTTACACCGCCATCTATCGGAGGCTAAGATATCTTTCTAGTCTTTCCTTAGGACATCTCTAACGATACCCACGGGTCGAAGTGCGATGACGGATTGTCTGTCACCTTTTTCTCATAATATGATATAGATTATGATGGTTAAAAGATTTCACGGAGATGTTTTGTTTGCAGCTGGAGCAGAAGCAAGTGGTTCCGCCGTTCAAGCCGCGGTTGGAAGGAGAACGCGACCTGGCCAACTTCCCGCCGGAGTTCACCGACGAGCCGGTTCACCTGACACCTGACAATGAGTAAGCAAGCCTATTCAAACTCTATGAGGGAAGTTGGAATGGCGTAGCTTGGGTAGCTCAATCTTCTAAAAGTCTTCAATAGTATATTAATATTATATTTATACGTCAATATTATAATTCTTCTCTGTGTGTGTGTCCGAACTTCTTCTAAACGACTGGACCGACTTTGATGAAATTTTGTGCGTGTTTTGGTTAAAATGATTCGGGGATAATTTAGATTCAAAATTAGACCCGGTATGTGGCGCTATTGTCAAGATCCAGAAATCTCCCGCGCGAAGCCGGGGCGGATCGCTAGTGTTATTATTTATAATTTTTATTACATTTTTTTAATCAATATATTGTGTATATCTTTGGCAAGTGCGTGTGTGCAGAATATCTAATTCTTCCCTAAAATGCCGCCCAGAGCCAGTCGGGTTGTGTCACTCCCCCTCGTTCTGTCACTGGGAGGTTGAGCGTTAAGTTGCCTTTACTATCCCATAAAAAATTACTTATGATTGCTAAAATCACCCATGTCTATCAGTAGACTATCAAAATAGGCTGGTGCCACTTTTTTATCTAACACTACTGGATTTAACAGTTGGTTCCATAGTAGAAAAATAGGTTTTATTATAATGTATTAAATTTATTTTTGTTTGATTATTTTCATTTAAGGCCGAATACGAAGAGAACTGGCAAAAATTAATGTATTTCTCTTGACTAGAACTTTGACCTGAAGTAATTCTAAGCTTTAAAACATTTTTGTAGGTTTGTTCGGGTCCTTCACAATGTCACCGTCATTTTAAATTTTTAAAATAAATGAATATACCAACAAATAAAAGAATGTTAAGAAATGATATATAAAATTATTGTTCTTCCAAAACTCTGTGAATTTAATTTAGGAAAAATTCTTTTTGCGTAAAAATGTTTGTATTGTAATTCCGAAGGTACCTGCTATCTTTATTTTCGATACAAAATATTATTTATTAACATAATTCGTTTTAATTAAAAACACCTAATAATAATATCGTATATTGCCAGATAAAAGTTTGCCGTAATAAATTACCAGGCGCTTCGACGTGTGACGTAAGGTAAACAGTCGATGTGTCTGTAGCGAAAATCGTTAATTTAGTGTTTTATACGCGTTTAAGTGTCTATAAATGTATATATGGGTAGGAAAAGAAATAAATATTACCTAAGTGGTAAAACAAAGAGAGTTTATCGCATGAACGCTGCTCGAATGTTGTATTTTGAGGTTAATACTTATATTTAGTAAGGTAATTTTTTGTTTGAGGCTGCCTAATAGGTTGCATTTTTACTCATTTACATTAGCCAAACTGATCATTTATACTTTTCTAGTTTCAAGTGAGAAACACTAAAAATGTAAAATATCAAGACCCAGTCGGGAAAGAATGTACAGAGTAGTGCAAGCACAGAGACCGCAAATAATGTCAGTCAATGTATTGTCCGAAAGCATGGGGTAAAAGTACATAATTAAGAAAAACCGAAATACTTCGGAAGTGAAGTGATTGACCAGTCGGAGTAGTCTTGTGAGAATTTACATACACAGTACCTATCCCCACTATGGGGCAATCACCGACTTTTTAGTTTTTTTTTTCTTTATTATTTATGCAATTTGCATTACGGCATCTTGTAAGACTCACAAGAACAAACATTTTCAGTTATATGAGATTCTTTACGTACGATGCACCAATTAAGAAAAAAAATCGTTATCAATTCAATAACTTTTCGAACAATATTTTATAACGAATAAAGTACAGAATTTATAATCTATTGGAACTAATATTATAAATAAGAAAAATTTATTTAAGAAGTAAGCAATGCTCTCTGTGTTGTTCATTACTCTGCATCTGAGCTAGTTCAGTCAAATATAATCAAAGCCCGTACGGCTTTGATTATAGGTATTATACATGTCTATATAAACAAAGCGTAGGTACTGGCGGCGCGTGGTTTGCTGCGAAACGAGCAAGGTCATTCGCGTCGTATTCGGCCTTAATAGTTTAGATTAGTTTGATTTATTTTTCATTTCCTTCGTAACACAATTTTATTATTTTTTTTATATCAGCGCCACCTACCGGGTACAAAAATTGTGAATTTAAACCATTCTCGAATCAATTCCTTAATCAGACAAACAAAATTTCATCAAAGTCGGTCCAGCCCGTCCAGCCGTTTAAGAAGAGGTCAGTGACAAATTTTTATCGTAGTCTGATGAACGGTATGGCAGAGCTTAAAATACGATCGAACATTAGTTTTATATATTTGAAGTATTCTCGATACAGGAGAAATCCTACTGAGGTTTACGTTTCTTATTTTTAAGTGTATTTTTTCATTCATTCGTTCGTTGTATGCAAACGTAAAATGCAAAGTGCACTGCTGAACCCCATCTCCTCTCCCCTCTCGATTACCTCCCCTATGAGGACATTTACCATAGTTGCCACGTTTGGCAGGTGAGTTGACATCCACAGCTTTTTTAAATATTATTGAATGGTTATCATGCTACCCATCTCCAGTTTAAGTGTCCTTCTGTCGCCGCCCGCCTCCGACACACGCGACATGCTACTGAGGCAAGAATTTAAATAATTTATTAATCTAAAAGTAGTAACCATTTTAATTATACTGTTTTGGTATATGAAAGTAAATATTAATGTTGTCGTACAGCACGGTGATAGCGGACATCGACCAGTCGGAGTTCGAAGGCTTCGAGTACGTGAACCCGCTGCTGATGTCGCTCGAGGACTGCGTGTGACAGCACGCCTGCCGCCTGCACCCTTACCATGACCCCGCGCAGGTCCGTGACCCACAATCGGTGACCCGTGACCCACGGCCATCGACTCGGCACCTGTGACTCAATTCAGAGCTACACATACTGGATATACTACTACATATACTGGATGACCTTTTTACCATTTGTAGAAAAAACAGAGTGAAAAACATGTGAACGAAGTAGAAGCCTATGGCACTGATATTTTACAAAAAATAAAAACAAAAAATTTCAATTAAATAAATAATAAATATATCGAAATTTAAATCATCAACCCTACTTTACGAAAGGCAATAAAACAATAAAGGAGACGGTTCATTTTAGGCCTAGTCTATGTACACTATACAATAAAAAGCGAAAAATTCACAGATTTTAATAAAATAATAATATAAATCGAACTAAATATCTTGCTAAAATTAAAAATGCAATCCTAAGTTTTTGATGGTTTTACAAGATGGCGCCCTTCCAGTCATAAAAAAGACGCCGTCACTAATGAAATGTCATTTCTGACATTTGACTTGAGTCATGAAATAATGTAGGTAGCATGATATTTTTATTTACTGCGAACTTGGTCATGTATTTGTGAACTCGTGAATGTATTTAATGTGTTTCTGGTGGATTACCTTAACGATTTGGTTTTGGTTTTGTGATAAGGATAACACAACATTTCAGAATTCAAATAGCCATTCATAAATGGATCAATAACCTCACGACCGTTGTCAGCTAACGACATCTGTCCGCCATTAGCGTTGCATTTTTTGGTGGAATAAAATATTAATACCACTTAAATAAAGGCAAATTCGTGAATTTGAATGATCAAAAATGTCATAAATAATTTATTTTAATTTATTCCCCTATTAGTACAAAACTAGGCCTACGTTTCACACAATTTTGGACCGTCTCCTTTAGTAGGCATCTTTGACCTTATCACTTCGCAGAATCACAGGTTCAAAGGGCAAAGTAATTGTTCAAAAAATTCAAACGTTTAATTAAAAAAAATTGTTTTTATTTTTTTGTAATATATCAGGTGCCATAGGCTTCTACTGCGTTCAGTTGCTACACCCTATTTTTTACATACGGTCAATCTGTATATTTTGCATCATGATAAAAAATCTATTGCATCACCCGGTATAAAAACTGTCGTGTAATGTAAAACGTTTACCTACACCATGACCAGATATAGAAATGAGTTAGGGCAGAACATTATTATATTTTATTTCTAGCTTTTATCCGCGACTTTTTACGTAGTAGAGCCATGCTACAGGTACACTTATATTATGATTGTACCACGAATTCGTCAAAATACCAGCATAAAATAGTAGCTTAGTGCTGCTGTGTTTCGTATGGCGAGTGTAGAGAACCGGAGACCCTTTTGCTGAAAACGAGGCATTCCATCTTAGTCCCAAGATCAATCCTAGTTAGCTAAGCTCTGACTCGATTATTTTATTTAGTATAAAAGCGTAGTTTTTGAGGTAATCGAGGCATTACAGCTATACAGCCTCGCACCGTCAGCCGAAGTGTAGTGCTACCTCGCACTAGATGGAGTGACGACCTGGTAAGACATGCGGGAGTAGATGGATGCAGGTGGCTGAGGACCGTGCTTTGTGGCATTCGTTGACGGAGTCCTGTGTTTAGCAGTGGACTTGTGAAGAACTGTTATAATGATGATTATTATGTTCTTCACTGCACACCTTTCTATAAAAAATATACAGAATGTTTGAAAATAGGTGTTAGCAAGGGCCGGTCTTATTGTAAACAGCAATCGTTTTCGCTCCTTTAATTGAGTAAGGTCTGTGCACATGTCAAGTCTGTTCACTAAGATAGTGTCGGTATATCCGGAGGCGCATTTATTATATTGCTTATATTTGATTATTTTTATTGTGTTTGTTAAATAAATGTTTTTCTATTCTAAAAGTAAAATAGAATCCTCTTTTATTGTTTATTATAAAATAGATATTATTTTATTCTTATGGCTATTGTAACAAGTTACGAATATGAATAAGTAACACAAGTTAGATAAGCAAAGAACATTCACTACGGCGCTTAGTTTTAAAATGCCAAATTCTCCTGCGGGTGTATGCCGCACGTGGCGATCTTTGCGACGTTCCAAGGTAGCGCGACATTAAGATGACCGTATCTAAGCGAACAGACTAAACGACGTTAGTAAAATATAAATTAATACATAACAGTTTCTATGTAAATAATCAGCACGCTTATCATATTTCGATATATTTGCTACCATCCATGCTACACTTATGACCACGCTCCGTTCGATGCTAAACCCGACATGATAGAGTAACATATATCTGTACAATTATCATATAATTAAATCTTCGCAAGTTAATTTGCGACCTCACTACAATTGCCATCTCTACTGATCTGATGATCCCGTTTAGGTTTGCGTGATCCATGAACCATTGTAAAAATGCTTCCTGCACTTATACTCTGTGACTCTGCATAGATATCACATTATTTTGGCTGGTAATAGTTGTATGATGAATCGTTATTGTAACCACCAGATATGCTGTAGTTCCGTATAGGCATGTCGCCTATTAAGACACCCACGGCATTATACGGGGTAGTAAATTCTCTTACGCTGCCTCCGCATGACTATGATAATTGAATGTGTAAAAACTTATTTTTCGCGCAGGTAGCAAATTAAAGAAAAGAGTTATAAATGTGCAAAAAATTTAAAAGGCACTGACGCATTGTTTTGTTTATTAATATAATACTTTAGAAACCGATAATGTTTTATTTAATATTAACTTCAACTAAATTACACTATGTAACGAAAAACTTCACCTTAGTTCCAACCAGCGACATCTGGAGAGCAGAAGATTATTATAATGTAAATCAATCGTACGTTTATCATAAATGCATTCTGATTCGTAAAATAATAAATAAATAACACTTAGGTAAAGGTGCAAATAAGGTATAAAGTTTTTTTGTTCATTACTAATTCGAATTAGAATAAAATATTAATAAATATGTATCTTAAACCGCTGCTTGTAACTTGTTGAGCGTAGTTCAACTTTATATCTGTGATTTTATCTCTATCTGACGCTGTGACTGTTTTGTTGTGTTCTTAACTGTATTTGTAATGTACCCCCAACTTCTGCGTTTCTCCAGATATTGTTATATCTTCAAAATTTTATGTTCTCATGATAAGTGAATTTTTGTATTTTTAATGAGAATAACGTTCTAACGTAACGTAAATGTCCATCACTATACTTCCACAAGCCACTAATGAAAGAAAGTCTTGTACCTTTTTGATTTAGCGTATTGTATTTGTAATGTTTGTATTTGAACGAGCAGGCATACGGGTACGTCGCGGGCGCGGAGTCGTCCTCGTCGGACTACGACTCGGTGTGCTCGGAGCTGCCGGCGCGCCGGCCCGCGCTCCTGCGCCACATGTTCTGCTTGCCGCTCAACTGACGCGCACACACGCGCACGCGCACGCACACACACACCCACTCCAAACCGCGCACGCATGCATACACACGCTAAAGCCTACAGATAAGACGGACCATTTCATACACGGCATGAACCTAAACAAATGTTTAATGCCCAAATACTCAAACGCTACTCAATTTTAAGATGCTACCAACGTTAAGTCTCGTGCTGTCTCTATCACTTCAAGTGAAAGTGACAGTGACACCACGAGACTTAACGCCATCTTAAAATTGAGCAGCGTTTAGTAGAGTAACTCAATACTTAGCTGGAACTAACATTACGATTGGATTTGAAATTGATAACACGCATTTGTTTATTCATACACTGAAATGGTCATTCTTACCTTTATACTTTAGGACGGCAGCAAATATTACTCAACTCAACTCAATTATTTGTGGATCATAGTTATTCCGTAATAACTGTAGGTGAGGAAAAGTGGACGAACGTTGGATTTATATTTAACTTTTAAATTTTTAACTTTATTTAAAATAAAATGAATATTTATATTGGTTCTCTGTGTGGATAAAATATATTCCTTAATTGCAACTCGATTCAGACACCGCAAGTTAATTTAATGTTTATTTTTTTAATCTTTATTTAATTCTCTTTTACAACAGAATACAACATTGCGTCAATCGACTAGCATTTCATGTATTATTTAATAAAACATTCCCTTAATTTTGAGATAAAATTCATTTAAACTTCAAACATTTTTAAACCACATCCATTAAATCTAAAAAACGAAAATATGTTTTATTTGAGCGTGTGCATCTCGAACTAGTAACCTAACTATACTCTATAAGAATAGGACTGGCAAATTGACATTTCGCTTTGCATCGCGCACTAACTTCAAGCTCATTATAATGTATGATTTGCAAAAATGAAATTAAAAATACATTTAATAAATATTTATTTTCTCTTATATTGTATATAAATTCATATGGTGACTGCATTTTGTGTATTTTCCTAGGAATTACTAGAATAATAATCTTGAAATGGTGTTCTATCGTAACGATGTCAGGAAGAATGACATTTATAGTGTGATATTATCAGGAAACTCAATCCTATATATTATCTAAAGCCAAATGAAAATAATGAAAAGAAGTAAATGACGAAGAAATGTATGATTATTATTCTTATATAAAGAGTGTTACAATTGGTCTTTCAATGAACTATGGTGTAAAATTGCGACAGTTACAATTTATTGTATGTAGTATAATATTAAATCCCTTCATAATTCTTCCAGACTTGACTCTGTTGATAATGTGCTTCTAATGTACATAAAAATTATAATAATCATTCATAAATGATACGAGAAACATTGTAAGACTTAATATTTTTGAAACTATTGTAGTGTCTAATCACTTTCTGTGAGAAAGGTAGGTTATGAAAGAGTATTGCTGAAGTTGGGTTGCGAATTTAGGATATGTGGCAGCACTATCTGATAAACTAAAAATTTGTTATTCGTAGAAATCTAGAAAACTTCATATAAACGATATTTGTAGAACAATTCTTGCCCAATATATTTAATTGTAGGAAATCAGTTTGTGTCAAGCATTTTGACTAATGCTTATGACGCATTAAACAAACCTTTTAATTAAGTTTTACCCGTCAATACCAAAAAGTTCTGTATTAAATATCTAAATAAAATGTTCAATGTGATAAAGCAACCAAATTCTTTAAAACACTATGTTAAAAGTGTTGAAAAATTAAATGAAAACATAAAAGTAAGCGTTAGTGTTGCCGCAATATGAGTGTAGGTAATGAATGACAAGGATAGTTGTAATCATTATTTTGGAGCAATAAAACATTTGACTTAGTAGTTCTATATGGGAGACAGTTTGACTGCTCAGTGGAAGGCACGCGAGGAATTAAAGTAGAACAAGCAGCGCGTTGTTCGAGCGTACTGTAGCCCTATCTCCTAAAAGTTAGTGTTCCCTAGACGTAAGCACGAGCTAGTGTTGTAGCTATTATATCGACATGGAGTGTTGCGTGGCATATTTTATATATCGATTGCTATTTTTCATTTAATACCTGTTTGTACTTATAATTTAACAATTTTTTTTCCTTAAGATAATTTAACTATAGTTCCGTTTAAATATTATATGACACGCTTCATATCCATAATTTTCATACATTTAACGGAATACAGCGATGATTTTATTAAATCTTCGTCAAGAAATACACAGGTAATATTGTGATAACAATATTTGAAACGAAGACGTTTTCCATTCAATACGTCTCAAATAAGAATCGATCATTTTTGTGTGATGTTAAATGTATATAAACAAATGTATTTCCTTCCCTATCGTAGGCCCTGTTCTCCTTCATAGATACACCACTTTAGGTAGCCAACGAATTCTATTATAAATAAAAAAATTATATATAGTATTGAGCACTGAAACAAATTCAAAATCGTGTACATTGTAAGCATATATAAAACATTGGTTATTGAATATTATAACAGATTATTGTTAGTGGTAGAAGACAAAGACTTTATATGTGAAAGGAGTAAATTAACGGTCGATAAAGGAGCTCCAAGTGTCCACGAACTATTCTAAATAGCGCGTAGTATCTATTAGACTTTTTGCACCGATAATATAATTATGATACACGCGTTAACGATATATATGTATACATAAAGCTTCGAGCATTGTACTACTATTGGTCCTTCAGTGATCGGCTATAGCTCGTAAGAAACAACTAAAATGAATCGCATACTCTCTAATATTGCGAGGGTCTTATCTAGAATAGAACGGGACTACGCTTCCCACCACAGTAGTACGTCTATATTCTGAAACTTCCGACGTATTACATGTCAGTGTATGTGCTGTGTTACACCTTCCGATGTATTTTGTGACTGAGTTGGTCGAAATGTATTGTTTGTTAAATTAATATTGTAAGGGCTATTCTGTTGTGTACCGGAATGTCATTTAATTGATAATAAGTTGAGATTAACAAGATTGGCTTAATCTTATAGTTATATTTCGAGATCGAGAGTTAAATCTTGAAATTTATTTCGTGCAATGGTCATGTGCGCGTTGTGCGGGCATCAAATACGCCCTCAAACGAGCTTTTTACGTGTGCTTGTTAAATGTTTCTTTGATAGTTTATGGCATTTTTACTCTGGATGAACGATTAAACTTTTTAATAATCTGTTATGAGATATATTGTTGCTGAAATAGGCACGGCAATGCATAAATATCTTGTTAGCTGTTGTTTTTATTGCGATGTGTTTAGTCTGCGCGGGTCATTTTTGTATTATTTTGTTTTAATAAGTATTTAATTTAGTATCTTGGTACTATTAAGTATTTACACTTAGTTTATAGTTAGTTAACATTCCATATTGTATCCCAACACTTAACACCTTTTATATTGTCTTTACAAGGATAAACATCACAGATTATAAATGTAGAATAAAATTCCTCACCGAGCTGTTAATTTTGTATAAAATTATAGAGGTATAAAAAATAAGTAGGCCTGAATTTGTACTTTTAAGTTATACAAAAACACTCAAAACTATTACTTATTTATTTTTCCAAAACTAATTGAGATAAATCCATTATTTTCCTTCTATTTTATAAATCTATATGATTATTACAAGTCAGACAGTAAAGCTTATATTAATGCTCGTCGTATATTACCAAATAAATCAATTAGGTTTAAAACAAAATCACTATTAACTGCATGGCAATTGATATTCTAACGTTTAATTATTATAAGCGGAATCGTTAATGTAAGTGATGTTTAATTTACAACAGAACAAATGTGTCCTAGTTGAATTCTTTTGTTTAAATATGACCGCATGCGATTAAACCAAACGACCCTATACAATTTTACACGCTGTAAGTTTGTTTAGTTTAAGACTTATTTAATTTCGGTTTGTGTATAGTTGTGTATTGTGAGACAACGCTAAAGCGTCTTGAACGGCTTGGTGCGAGATCGCTACTTATTGTCAAACTAGACTGGAGAAATTGAGATACTGTACTATTCTATGCTTAACTGAAAATAAAGAAAGATTAATCAGTTCTTTTTTTTTGTTTCCTCAGAAAATATATGTAACATTCACATTCTGGGTTGAAAAACATATCCAGATTCGTTAGATCATATGATAGATACTGTCTAATCCTGGGTTCGAATCCCGCATCGGGCCAAAAAATTAATTACTGAGTTTTCTGTCAAGAAATTCTCAGTAGTTGCCCGAAGTCAGGAAGTTGGCGGTGTCTCACCCCCGTGCCTCGGAAAGCACGTAAAGCCGTTGGTCCTGCGCCTGATCTCTCTCCGATCGTGTCGGTTTGCCGTCCCATCGGATTATGAGAGTGAGGGAATAGAGAGTGCACCTGTGCTTGCGCATACACTTGGGCACTATAATCCTGTCCTGCGCCGATGGCTAGTTTCCGTTGAGGCAGGCCGCCGTGGCCGAAATTCGGTCTGGAGGACATTATTATAATACTATCCATCATTGATTATAGCATTTACACCACTGATTATAGCATTTACACCACATATTATTGATTTAAGCAAATGACACAGAGTGCTTTATACATACTGACTGAATACCCTAAATGCGCACTTCGATAGCTTGATTCAAGCTTCGGTTGTAGATTTCCGCAGACGTTATAAAGCATATGGCTGGCTTGATCCGGCTCCTCTTACTATTTTACTAAGTTCTACAACTTACAGTTTAAATACATCCAACAAGACAGACAAACATATTAAACAAGGATAGATAAATTTACCTGTCTACCTTTTGAGCGCCAAAGTCGCCTATACTTGACCAGCACCTGCGGGCCCTGGGCGCCATCGACGTCTATAGTTGACAAAAAACCTGACCCACAAAAATATGAAATATAGATATTGAAAAATTATTACTGGTATTTTAATTCTACACCCCTCAAAAAAGAATAACCCAGCAACATATGAGTTTAAAAACAAGTCTCCTAGACCCACAAGTACTAAGAAACATTGAACTAAAAAAATAGATTTTTATCTAAACAAATACGATATAAGTGTCGAACGCCGGAGGCATGGATTTCTTGAAAACTATCCAAAATTCAGCTCAAACGT